CTACTGATTTTTTATTTCATGGACAATTTTTTTAGAATACTTATTCCATTGAGAACTATTTTTCTTATAGAAACCTGATTGTACACTATCACCATTTATTCAAAATTCCTGACTTGGCTTCCTTTTTTACTTCTATGTATTTTTCAAAAACTTCGACTTCCCAGTAGAAATCAAACACTTTTTCTTGGCCCAGTTTTTTTACAAAAAAATTTGTTCTTGTGTTTTTTGGCAGATTTCATTATTTTTTTCAAAATAAGCAAGGACTATTTTTACATCCGGTGAAATTTGTTCTTTTCAATTCAATTTAACTCATTCATTTTTCATAAGATGGAACATTTTTTGAATTAACAATTGAAGGGAAATAAACAGTTCTACTCCAGATTTATTGTCTCCACCGAATTTCAATTTTTAATCATCTATTAATAATTTTCTGACTTGATTTGGTTCCTCATTCAATTTTTGCTCTGATGATTCCTATGCGGATTGTATTTCTTGGAGAGATGAATTGATTTCCTTATAGGAATAGTCGAACAATGTCTATGGTCGAACAAAATGGTCACAAATAATTCATTTTGAAAACATCTATTTTTGTTTTTTCGTTTTTACAAATATTAGGGAAACATTGGGTGGAATGGACTCTTCTGACTTCTTGTTTCAATATTTATAACCAAGGAACAAATTTATCGATTGAGCTCAGTGCAAGCTTATTATAAAGGGGCTGACACTACTTTAATTTTTTAAAAATTCTATTTCATCAACACTTCAATCAGACATCAACATTTTGAAAAGGGTTCAAAGTGTTCATTTAATCCTACCGTCTCCTACTAATTTTTCCTAAATGATCACAAAATTGTTCGCATTTCACTGTCACTTAATTTAGAGAATTTTTTTCCACGGAATGAGAACATTTTCTGTTACACTCGGAGAAAAATAAATATTTTCTTTTCGAATTTAACTATTCACGGACATTTAATACTTGATCACACAATATTTTCGACACATCTCACTTTTGTCACATTCCAAACATAAACCGATAACCTCACAAACTGAGCATAAACTACCTTTATGTCCGAGGTCCGCATATGAATATAGATATGGCGGGATGAAATTCGAATTTTCGACGAGGGAAAACAAAATAGAACACCGAGTCGATTTTCCGTTTCATTCTAATAAGTGATTTAACGTGAAGAAGAACATTTCCCATGGTTCTCCATAACAACATCACAACCCACATTCAAATGCACTGGTGGCAAAACTTCAACGTTGGACATGAGGCTCAGTTGGACCGGCGCTGCCAACGTTACAACTTGATTCTCGACTTTATAATGTGAATTGCGAGAATGTGAATATCAACCCGTTGCTATGCGCGTATCTTTTTTACTGTTAATCCAAAAAATACCATAGTTACACCGTTGAAATGCTCATAGGCGATTTATATAATGTAACTAACGACACATTCCCGATTTGTCTTCCCGTTTTCATTATACCGAATGTAAATCATTTAGAGGTAGTGGAGGGGGAAGTTCTGTCATGTATAGATACGCGGTGCACTTAGCCTGATGTTTTGCTCAGTCGGTCAAAATTTTTCTTGACCGATACGCTACCGCGTATCTCAATTCGTTGTGGCTCGCGCCATATTTTTTCTAAACCTCTCTACTCCGAAAAGATTCACCTAATAATCTGCACAACTTTCCGTAACTTATCTCCTTTGCAGACTTTGCTCCAAAATTTCGATTAAATTCGTCTCGGGAGCGAGTAATGAGTTTTTGATTTTTGTTCACGTATGAAAAAATCGTATGGAGAATTTGAATATTTCCTGTAGGATTTTTTAGAGTGGATTTGCTATAGGATTTCTTATAGGATTCCCTATCAGGTTTTTCCTATTGGATTTTTTACAGGCTGTCTCGCACGATTTCCTATAGGATACCCTATACGATTTTCAATAGGATTTCTTATGAAATTTAGGGTCATAAGGGTCAGAATCAGGATCAAAAAAGTAATATAGGGGGCATATGAAGCTCATATGGGGATCATGGGTGTGTCATATGGGAGTCACATAAGGGTCATATGAGGGTCACATGGGGACATACGGAGGTCATACAGAGGAGGCTCATATGGGGGCCATATGAGAATTAAATGACCTTCACATGGCCTTCATATGACCCCTATATAGCCCCTAAATGACATCTATAGGACTCCTATGTGACCTCCAGATGGTCTCCGTATGACCGCCATATGACCCCATATTACCATTAAATAACTCTAATACGACCCTTACATGACCCCCACATGATCCCTATATGACAGTTTGGACCCTGATTGTGACCCTTACGCCCCTAAATTTTATAGGGAATTTTCTTCATCCAAATGTCAGCCAATAAATTGCACTATTCAACTGTTATTTCATATAGTTAACACGGTATTCAGCTGATAATTTTAGATAATTAAACTGGTAATTTTTCATGTTGACTATATTTGTGGAAAACAAAAGATTTCGTGGTCGAGTAAACCCCTGATTGGAACTGTCAGATGGATTTTGTCTCATCGTACAATTCTTTTGGCCGACTTTGGATGGTAAAATTCCTTCCCGAATACTACTCGAGCTTCAAAATTAATCGAGTAATTCCCTCAAGTTTCCTTGTACACAACCGAAGTCGTCCAGTTTTTCAGGAAAAATCACTCGTGCTTTGCACTCATAATTTTTTAACCTGAAAAACTTGACTCCTTCGTTTGTTTGCAACGAACCTATTGGGAACTGCTCGATAATTTTGAAGCTCTCGTGGTATTACTTGCGGAAATCCCATAGTATATTCCATAGAAAATCCTACAGGATTTTTTCATACGCGTTTCATTATAATCTTAGTGGATGCTAAGGATTTCGCTAATGCAATGATTTAATAACGAGGTGAAAACTTGTTGAGATGGCTCGGCAGAAATCTTCGGAGTGAAGAGATTCAGAGAAAAATGTGTCGGACTTTGTTGTGGAGAATTCTAATGAAGTAGAAAATAGATCTTTCAACATTTATCTTTAAACCTCGCCACTCCAAAGATATTCATAGAATAACCCGCATAATTATTTGAAACTCATCTTCTTTCGACACTGTGCTCCAAAAGTTCGACAGGATCTACCTCGGAAACAAGTAATTTTAGCATTAATCTTAGATTTTTGTTCCGGGAATTAGATTTTTGTTTTATGCATCTCAGTGGGCGTTAAGGACTACGTTAACTCATCTTTAGGCGCGCAGTGAGCATTTCCCTCACGCAATGCTAGTCAACCTATAGAACCTCTATGCAGTGCGAGTGAGATACTAAAAAGAGCGCACCTAATGACGAGTTAATGTAGTGAGTAATGTGTAATTACGGAGTAAAATGGTGAAAGTATAATAACGTCCAAAATGAGTCGAAATGCTGCCACAGATATCTTCGGAGATCTAGACAAATATGTCGGGGTACTTTTTTATAGAGAATTTTACGAAGTACATACATAATTTTGTTACATTTTACCTCGAAACTTTTTCACTCCGAAAATATTTGCACACAGATAGAAAGGATTAGTTATTTTTAACGAATGGATTTGGTTCGAGACGAGGGTCTATTCGGTCTCACCAAATGTTCATTCGTTAATAGGCAACAAATGCACATTTGAGAAGGCTTGTTTGACTCGATTTTCACCTTTCAAGTGAACCATTCGTTAATAGTTAACGAATCTCGTTTGGAATAAATGAATCAGTCTATCAGTGCAGACTCCTTCGTACAACTTGTTTGCATTCGCCTCCTTTGAACAGTCTGCTCCAAAACTTTGATTAAATTTGTGTCGGGAGTGAGTGACCTTAATTTAAAATGGCATAAGATATTTTTGTTGCCAACTTAAAGACTTATGGAAAAGGTTGTGTGGCATTTTTATCTAAGTCTATTAGTTATTTACTAAATAAGATGTTTACAAAATCAACGGATAAACATTGCATCAGCATTCGATCCTAAAATCCAGTGACTCCAGAAATAAAGTCAAAAGACATATTTTGAAGAAAACTTTCACTAGGAAGAAAGCCCTTCGACAATATTCCCTGAAAATTGTTCTGGGAAATGATTTATGCAAAATTCTTCAGCTCTTCTCCACTGACTAGTCTATCCCAAAATTATCTCGGTCAATTGCATCCTACACTCAATTCCAGAAAGAGACTAAGAGCTGATTAATATTCTAACAACATCTAGTTGCATCAAGTGTTTAAGCCAGCGACATAAACATCGTTATCCGGCTGAATGATCGCTTCTCCACATCTATTCATTCCGTATCTTTATTTTTATACTCCGCCGTATCGAAATGACTTGAACTCGTAAAAAAATCGTGAAAAACACTGGTAAGGCTTCTAGTTAGGTAACGAGATATTTGCCAGTCGTCTTGGCTTCATGTGGGCTAAACATGGCCAGTAATCTCCTTACCTCCCCCTTGACTCCTATCAATCACATCTTCTCAAATAATTACATAACAGCATCGATAAAAAAATAACATTGCGATGAATCAAGGGCCATAAAAAATCCAGACGAACAAAAAAAACTCTCATCAAGTTCAAGTACGACAAATCTGTGAAATGTGAAAATCTCTCTTCTCTATTACGACAGAATCAATGCCTCCAATTACGCCAATAATTCTATAACGGAGGGAAAATCGCACTCTCCTTTCTCCATCAACTATCGATTTGACAGCCGGATAAATATTAGAGGTTATGTCCTATGTCTACAGGACGGACAGAATCCTTGAAACTCCATTTTAAAAAAACTAATAAACTCCCACAAATTGAACAACCGTTGAAATTCTCAAATCAAGAGTGGAAATAAAACCAATCCAATGGACTGAAAAATTCATTACCAAACAGAGGCACCTGTTACGTGACTCCGAAACAAAAAAAAAACAAAATTGAACAAATAAGAAAAGATCATTAGAATAATGAGAATCGATTCGTTCCTTCCGATAGAATCACATTATTTGAAAAACAACTCACCAGAATTCTATTATGAATTTCCACTTCCTCGTTCTCCTTTTGTTTTCCGCTATTTTTACTCCGAAATATCCGATCCTCAGGACTTTTTCATCGTCAACACTGTAATTCTTATAATAATGAGCTCACGATTAATTGAATGATGAATAAGCAATGAGCCACTCACTATTAAACTCACAGGCTACCACAATTTATTGCACGAATGAGACACAATGGTAACGCAACAGTGAGCACAGGTGTGTAGCGTTGGGGACGATGAAGACACAACGGTATCCCAGGTTGGCATATCGGTGCTCTGTCGTGTCTACTGTTTTTCCATTGGCGCGCACGCTCACCTCAACTGCTATTCGCGAAATCTACGAATGATGAGAGAGAGAGGGATTGTGTTATTTTTCTATTTCTTTCATGGGGCTCAACAGCAATGTTTATTCGAGGGGTTTTACGATCGAGTCAGGGAGTCGTGGGTTTGCGGAGTGGGATTGACAGATCGTTAGTCTGATGTCGTGTTATAAGCAAGCGTTGCTCAATAGAACTGACAATGCGAATGCGACAGTGGCTGAGGCAGGCGACGCGCGTATTCTACTGGGATAGATATAAGCTGAGTGTGGAATGACAGGAGGAATGTACAATTTGGAATTTAACGGTTTATCGAAATATTGGTTTAATATCTGAGAGGTAGTGGCTTCAAGGAGATGAAAATTTTTTTTAATTTTTCTCCCACTCAGATCTTTTTTATCTTTGATTCTCGATGGAAAAATTGGATTAGAGTGCTTTTTTGGTATCTGTGAGATCTATATCTATCGCTGTATGCCTCGTATGCAGCAGATAACGCCATCTCCTGGGTCTTCTCTCCGTTGGAAATGTGGGTTGTTACTGCTGCGGGTAATTTGATTGGAATTTTGAGGGAGGGCACAATTTTGAATATCACAAAAATCATTTCTTCACCGAAAAACATCGCATACATATTTAATCAATGTATGGTAGGTTTCAGGCAACAAAACAGTGCTCTTCGGGTTAAGGAGGAAGTTACTGAATGAAAAAGTAATGTTTTTTTTCGAAATGAGATAATATTTTTCAAAAGACAAAAATAGTCTGATAGCATTTTCGATTTAGGTTGCTCTACGCTGGAGTGGGGTACCCTACGCCGGAGTAGAGTAGAACTAAATCGAATATAACGGGGGGCAATTGGAAATATTTGCAGAAAAATTAATCAAAGTGACAAAGGAGAAGGATATTTGTCAGAAACTAATAAACTATTAGATATACTATTGACCATTACCTTTTTATGAATACTATCCTCCTCTTTTGACATTTTTATCCATTTTACTGCAAATATTTCAAATTGCCCCCTGCAGCAACCTAAATCGAAAACGTTATGACAGAAGGAAAAGAAGATATTGCTTCCCTTCGAACTTAAAGCGATTGAGCGTAAGCGAAGGGTCTCATAATGCCATAATCAAAAGTCTCCATAATGCCCCACTCTCCTCTAAACATTTAATGGTCGATTGATAATCGATAAAATTTTGTAATGTTTTATTTTTATCAATAATGGCTTTTTCATCATTAGTTTTTGATGAGGCATTTTGCTTACAGCGTTTCTGTAAAGATCTCAAGATCTGTAGCAGGAGATAATGTCATTTTCTAAGGGTTTCCGCTGTTGGTAATATAGGTCTCCTTATTTTGGCCAATCAATTGAGGAGCAGAGGGAGGTGGGATACATTTAAACAGAGGTAAGAATTCTTGGGAGGTTTTGAGGTAAGAATTCTTAGTTGTTTATTCACTTCATAACGTGGACAAGTTGAAAGGCTTTATGAAGATATTTCATTCAATTCTCCACCCTGGAGATGATCGTAGGGCACCTTCTGGACGAATTGCCACTTCTTCGATATTCAATTCGTTGGGTGAGATTTTCTGTTGCAATTTCAACAGTAAAGAGTAACACACAAGAATTACGACGAAATAATTAAATAATTTATTGATATAAGCGACTAATTTATATGCGAAAATTGAAATCGTGTAATCGTGAGTTGTAATGAATGATAACTTGTATAAATAGATTTCTAAGTCTAAGATAATAGCAAAAAGTTTATAGAAAAGATTAACGATGAGTAATAAGCAAATAGTAAACGATGGAAGAGAGTGGATAAATCACGCGAGAGATGAGACGAGATGGTGAAACTGCTTTCCTTCTCAGTAGATGAGTGTCAAATGAAAGATTTTCCCATAAGTTATTATTTCTTCTTGCGAGATCCATGATTCATTCTTTTCCCTTTATGATGATACGATTTATTCTGGAATTTTGATGCACATTTGTTTGTATTTACTGTTTGCTCTGATCCAGTCGTTTCTGCATGCCCATTGCTTTTCTCTACAATTTTTCCATCTGCAACAATGAAAGAAGAGAATTTTTTTTCTAATTTTTGGAGCATTTGTTATTTACAAATTCAGGGCATTAACTGAAAAATTCTTACCCACATCTGCTTTATAATTCTCCTCTACTGCCTCCAACTGCTCGACTCCGTCCTCGTTTTGATCTGTAGAAGAATTTATATAGACGAAAAAAATTTAAAATTATGTTTTACTCCGGGAACATAGTAATTTTTAATATGAGAAAAGTGAATGCACTGATAGAAAGGATTAGTTATTGTTAACGAATGGATTTGGTTGGAGACAAGGGTCTATTCGGTCTCACCCAATGTTCATTCGTTAAAAGTTAACAAATGCATATTTGAGGAGGCTTGTCGGACTCAATTTTCACCGTTCAAGTGAACCATTCGTTAACTATTAACGAATATTCATTTGGTCATATTCAACTCTACAATTTGTTAATAGTTAACGAATCTTGTTTGGAATAAATGAATCAGTCTATCAGTGAGCAGGACCATATCCCCTGCACCCGAAAATGTGCCAGTGAGCATAGTAAAAATTGAGATTCGGCATAGTAGAAAGTGAAATAAAAGGTAGCATGAAAGTAAAATTTAATTTGACACGAGTAAAAATTAGGGTAAAATAAAGTGAATTTCAAAGTTTTGGTGGTATGGCCCTCGATTTCCATGTGCACATAGGTAATACTTTTTAATTTTATATTCTCTCCGCGTATACGAATTTGACAGTAGCGCATTTTTGGAGTGGAATGATGCCCCGCGATGGAATAGTATGAAAGTGAAGACAGGTAGGAAGATTTTTGTGGATGCTTTTGTATGGGTGATTTCACCAAAGATCGTAAGAAAATACGGATTCGACCTGGTTCTTTTGAGAATTTATGTGTAGAAAAGGAGATTAGGAGAGAACCGATCGCTCAATTACGGGCACTCCGTGTGATCGAACGTTTTAGGCTCGAACTTCTTTGATTTAATTTAACGTGTTCAAAAATGCCTAAAAAAACAAAACATACCTAAACAAAACCAAAATATCGTTTATATTTTTTGTGGCGCGAGCCACAATAGATTAATTCCTTGAATTTATTTCGTAGCGTCTCGAATATTCCAAACGTCGGAATTCGAGACAAACGTCATTCTGTCCTTGTCCCTCACGAAATTTCAGGACAATTCTCGAACCTTCGATAAACGAAGGTATATAAACTCGTACGCTCCCCGACGGAATAAGACAGTCGAAGTCAGTCTACTTTTGAATACGTATGTAAACACTTGCCTTCAAAAATACAGTTCTTGTCAACACCGAGTTATTATTTTGATACCCGCACCAAACCGCCACATTTTTTATTTGATAAATTTTTCGGAAAATTGAAATAATTTCCCATCGAAAGTTCTCTCGTGTACCACAGTACCGGAAAGGAGATGAAAAACGAAGAATGAATAATCCAAAAATCTATTTCTTATGGATTGATAATTTTTTTACAGTTTTTATTTATTAGGTTATTACTTTCATTGACACAGCTTGTTGTCTTATTTGTAGTAAACGTCACAAACTGAAATCAATTTTCTAAAAATCTATTCTTCTGTTTTTCATTTCGTTCTGGTTCTGTGGCATATCAGCAGACATTTTTAAATAATAGTTTCGATCGGCAATTTTATGAATTTACTGAAAAATTAATCAGATCCAAAGGAGAAAGTGGTACACAAGTTGAAATCAACGTTTCAAATGTTATTATTTGAGTTTTCTTTTGAATTTGAAGTAGGGAAGCATCAATAACTAAATGACTATCAGTTTTTTAAAACTCAAATTCAGTAAATTTCCGATCAGAACCTCTGTTTTGATTTTTTCAAAGGCATTTTCGAACACGTTAAATTATGTCAAAGAATTTCGAGTCCAAAACATTCACTTACAATCCAATGGGATTGGAAGAGCCGTGGGTTCTCTGCTAGCTGAGAAATCTTTTTTTCTGTATACATAATGCGGTATCTTGTGGGGAACAGGAATCCATCGGCAACCCCTTCAGACAATGTTGTTACAATTTCATTGTGCTTAATACTCCCTGCACTGAGTAGACAATGAGCGACCATAAATACACTCAGTGGAGATAAATTCATTTCACTTTGCATGGATTGATTACCTGCATTGTGGGAAAAATCTGATCAGGTACAGTCATACTTTGCGAGACTCCGGCTCGACAATGAAACTGAGAATCAGCGTATCACAAATTTTAGCGCACTTTAGGTATGGAACCCAGGACAATCCCGTGTCAATCCTGCACGAAAGAAAAAAAATCTCGAATCAGATATATAATATTCCGGAATCAGGAATATGTGTATTTCGGAATCCGGGATATTTTATTCCGAAATCCGGAATAGTATTCCTGAATTTGGTATATTATATTCTGGAATCCAGAATAATATTCTGGAATCTGGTATATTACATTCCGAAATCCGGGATATTTTATTCTCGATTCCGCATACATCCCCAGGGGTTTGCAGATTTTTCAAACGATGAAGGAAGTGTCATGAGACAATTTCCGATAACAAAATTTGGTCATTCGGAGAATTAGGTGTGCGAATTTTTTTTCCGTTTGAAAATACAAAAATTTTCACCCCGTAGTTTCAGGTTGAATCCGCGACAAATGTTTGTTATTGGAAAATGTCTCACGACATTCCCTTCACCCACGGAAAAATCGGAAAACCCCTGAGGATGTCTACGGAATCGAGCATAAAACATCCCGGATTCCGGAATATAATATTTGTACTATTTCTATAAGGTTTGCAAAGGGTTAAGGGAGTGTTGTGAGATATTTTCCGTTAAAATACTTTTGGTCGTTTTGAGTATTTGGGGTTCAAATGTTTTTTGTTTCAATCAAAAATACGAATAATTTAGTTTTTCGTAGAATAATTTGTGAGGGAAATTTTCACCCCGTAGTTTCAAGTTGAATCCGCGACAAAGGTTTGTTATTGGAGAATGTCTCACGACATTCCCTTCACCCACTGAAAAATCGGAAAACCCCTGAGGATGTCTACGGAATCGAGAATAAAACATCCCGGATTCCGGAATATAATATTCCGGATTCCGGAATATACACATATTTCTGATTCCACAATATTGTATACCCGATTCGAGAATATTCTTTTTCGTGTGTGTTTTAACTCTCTAATGCTGATAAAATTCCACCCACTTCGTCGTTTTTTGTATTTTATATAGAGAATGAAAATTACCATTGCAGGACCCCTTATAGTACAGGGGTTCACATATAGAGATGCAAATGCGTCACATGATCCGTCATATGACGGTCATTGACGGTCACATGACGAGGCGTTCATGACGGCTGTCACAATTTCCCCTCCCCCTTCTGTGACCGTCACAACTTGTCAAGAAAAAATGACAGTCATTTTTCATCTATATAGATGAAACTTTATTTTTTTCTCGGTCAATTTTCAGTTGAATTCCTTTGTAATGGCCTAATCCGCATTTTAAAATGGAAATGACGTTTTTTTTTCCATCTATATAGATGAAACTATTTTGTTTTATTCATGACCGCCACAAATTGGAAATTAGTTATGGCCGTCATTATGCAACTATAGAGATGGTTTGACAACAATTTGGTTACAAATGATTTGTGACAATCATTTGTAGTTAGAAAATTTGTGCATCACATGACCGTCACAAGACCGTAATTTTTGGTCATATGACGCGATCTAAAAAATGACGGTCATTTTGCATCTCTATTCACATAATATCTGGTAAGGTGGATGCTGCTAGAAAAAGCTGATCCCTCGATCACCTTAACCCTCTAAGATGAATTTCAATATCTCCACTCTACGGTCGTCAAAGCAGAATGCCAGCGTCCCCACTCGTGCGCCCCACTGCGCTTTACTACGCTTTTCACCTTAGAGGGTTAATATATAAATATTCAAAAGGATTTTCCTACGAAATTTGGTGAAATGGTATATAGAAGAGTAGGAGCTACAAAAGTAAGGGCGATCTTCCTTAGATTGTGATTTAGTTAAGGTTCAGTTTGAAAATTTTCTGTTAGTCTTGAGAACAATTGAACCGATTCGGATACATATCGGGACATATCATGCTTTTTCCTTCAAAATCGCTGTTTGAGCGCAATGTCTATTCGATTCATATTGATCTGTTTTCGAAACGTAGATTCCGAAGTATAAAGTTGAACATATTTGTCATATTTTATTTGATAAGTGATGAGAAAACTGACTTTTTTATGCACGCGTTTTCGGTTTTCTTAGGCATAATTAAGAGACGAGCGAAATGTAGAATAAACCGGTAGTTTTTGTAATGATCTAGTCGATAAAAAGTGAAATTTCTTTTTCACCTTATACTTCGAAGTTCGATAAATATTTTAAAAACAGATAATTCTGTATCCGATGAAAATTAATCCAAAGATTCAAGGGGAAGTTCGACGGCGAAAATATGAAAAATGAAACTTTTTCATTCTACTGGGAGAATAAGTTGATTAAGTTTATCATTTATTCCACTTTTTGATAAGTCTTATCATGTACCAAAGTCTTGCAATAGATTCCCAGACAAACTGAAAACTCTTAAAATTAACTCAGGTCATCCCCTTACAACAGCTGTTCTCAGAATCAAATGGACTAATTTTGTTTGACCGTTTCACAACTAAATATCTGCTGTAAGGGATTTCTTAAATTTATTATATAACAACGCGAGAATCTCATGGACGAAACTTACGTCCTTTAAAAGTGGGTATAACCCTCTCTGGACTCGCGCTCTTGGAGCTGATTGGCGAGTAAAAAGCAGTCTCCCCATCGTCCCCACTCTGTGGGGAGAAATAATTCCGTTGCTCCTCAGCAAGTTCGATCTCTGGATTTTTTTTATTGTTGGTGGGACACGTATCCTACGAGGTATCACGAGGGATTCATTTTTTGGTTTCTGCCTTCTTTTTTTCATTAACTCAATAGAAGAGTAATAAAACGAGTTCAGTAATAACACATTTATCGATGTGTAATTATGTAATGGAGATTTCAGACATATCGGGTGTTTGGTTTCGGAATGGCGGGAGTCGGAGGGAAGAGGAAATTTTTTCAGGTTCTAAATGAAGATAAAAAAACATGTTCACAAGCAAGTGCCGTTTGAACTAAAAAATCGCAAGTTGGTAATGGTCGAGATAGAAATTGTTCAAGCTACGGAATTTTGCAACATGAGAACATCACTCTGTTTTCAACAACGAAATATTTGACCTAAGTGACTGTTCATTCAGGCGAGATGGTGCCTTTTCAGCATGAACCCATCTGCCATAAAGTGAAGTTAAAGTTCAAGAAATATTTTCTTCGTAAGTTATGGGATTATTATTATTCTGTTTAAGAATTAATTTCTTAATTTCTTAATTTCTTGCTTGCACAGAAAATTACAATTTTCCGAAACAACCGTAGGTATCTATTTTCGTGGAAAAATGTTATCACCTCAGGGTACTCTTCAGGGTAGTAGTTTTTTTTCCAGGATTGATAATTTTCAACTCATTTTTTTTATTGTAACAAGACTCGTTTAAGAACATGTTTTTTCTTTCCCTCAGCGTGTGAATAAGCATCTTGACATTTAGTGCAAAAATTATTCATTACTCATACACTGAGAGAAAAACGAACAAGTCTCTCAAACAAGTCTTGTTTGGGCCAACAAAATCGTTAGTTGAAAATTACAAAACAAAATAATTGTTTAGTGCGAATTTGAAAGTCTCAAACATGAATCATTACTCTGCTTTCAACACAACGAAATATTTGGCTCAAGAGGTGGATGATTCATACAAGCTGCTCACTCCCGAAATCACGGCGCCACTCCGGCATGAAATCATTCCGAAATCACTCCGAAATCATGTGATATCACTGAAATCGACTTCATTTCGAAATCATGGTGTCACTCAATTATGGATGAGTAGTCCTTTGATAAAAATATTTTTGTAGAGAGAAGGGTAAATGTTAAGAAAGAGGGCGCCATCACCGATCCGATGGTTAAGTTTTCAGAAAGATCGGTGGTGGGGCCCTCTTTCTTAACATTTACCAAGAATTTAATCATTTGAGAATTAATCTTTTGTCTGTGATTATTGAATAGCCAAAACGACAAACTACTACCCCTCGTTCCATGTAGAAAACGAGCATTTGCCTGGAGGGAGCATCTATAATAATAACGAAGAAGGACTGATAGAAATTACATTTCTTGCTTGTACAGAGAATACACTATTTTTGAAAAGACTAAATCTATTTTTGCAACAAAAAATTTTAATCTCGGCGCACGCTTTCCCTGCTTGCCACAAAAAAAACCTTTATTAATCAATTTTAACAAACGATTTATTCGGCACAAGTAAGACTTGTTTGAGAACTCTGTCTTTTTTCTCTCAGTGTATAATTCGACTTTTCATGAGAAAATGGATAATTTTACTGGAAAAATATAGAGAAACTACTCCACAGTTGAGAGAATCTTTTGTAAAGCTGTCTTTCTCCCAGACTTTTAGACCATCCAAACTAATAGATCTGTTCTCGTTCTACCACTTCTCTACTCAGTTGAACTATTGCGGAAGGCCTTTGGCATGCGAACAAAGCAATCTCAAGGAAATCATCAGAACTTCGATGAAAAACTCACTTACCTGAGTGTCATTAGCTGAATGCCTGACGCTGTTAGAAAAAACAAATTGGTGTATAGCCAAGTGTTCATTTTCCTGTATCAAATGCTCCACTTCATCCTGAGATATATTTTTATCCTCATCTTCCAAATCGGTTTGACTTGATTCAGTGCTGTCAGAACTTTCCTCGGGCTACAAATCCAATATTTGTTAAAGTTACAGACTCACATTTACCTCTGTTTTTGTCGTCCAATGGACGTCATATGATTGTGAGAATTATCGATTCTGTATTGACTCAGTTATAGATATGGTACATCCATAACTGAGACCAAAATAACTCCAAAAATACTAGGGGAGGGTAGAGCAAAACGGACCGCAGGGCAAAACGGACACCTAGGACAAAACGGACCACTGACAGAAAATTGATAATTGTTGTGGTTTGAGGTGATTAACAATTCTGATCAAATTGCGATTTAACGACACTTCTTGTCTATAAAGCCCCTGTGACGATTACGACCCAAGAAACTCACTTTTAATTCAACACATTCAGTGTTCCTGATTTCAAGGAAAGAAAAAAAAACAAAAATTACCAATTTCCTATCAGTGGTCCGTTTTGCCCCAGGGGTCCATTTTGCCCTAACCTCTCCTGAGTTGAATTTTGACCCTGATTGTCCAATTATATTCTTGTGCAAAGTATCAGTGGTGTTGGTCTAGTAATTGTTGGGACATTATAATTCATTAAAAATAGTTTTGTCTAAATAACTCGGGAACTATTGAACTATGATAATAATTATCTATGGGAATTAAAAACTAAATATCTCTCTATAACAAGTTGCGTAATTATTGCAAATGCTAGAGCATTGTAATCATTTTAACTTGTTGCTATTAGACGAGTAATTTGCTCATGTTCTGGAGCGTGCCCCTTGCCCATGTACTTGTATATTAAAAATTCTTGTAAACACGATAACATGACAAAAAATGGACATATCATGTTGAAAGTGGGTATGATTTTTAGCACTTATAATATTTGGATCAGTGCAATTGGCCGAGCGGTTTCGGAGATATTTAACTTATTGCATGAATCTATTTCACCAAAAGGTTCAATTTCCCCTGTAGACAACCTGTAGACTGGGGTTGCGGTTGTATGCCTGTTGCGAAGATTGGAAATTGCTACGGATCCATTCGGAAGCTTACTACCACCAAAATTTTTCTTTTTTTCAATTTTACGGCCGTCGAGTCCCTTTTCTGGTCCCATTCAGCACTATCTAACCCTATGGCTGTGGATTCTATACACTGTACTCGCACTGCTATAAAATACAGTAGTAGCATATAGGAAACCACAGAAAATCCATGCCCGTAGGGGCGATTACTCTTAGCACAGTAGTCTTGCGTCTAGCCCACTCGGCCACCGACATCAGTTAGGAATGCAGTTGGTAAGAATAAATAAAACAAAAAGACTATCAACGCGAACAGTAATGACTACATTTATATAACAACCGAAATTTAGACCACACGGAGAAAAAAATTCCAGAGATATTACTGTGCCAGCACGGTAAAATGGGTTCATTTGGACGGACCCGGAAAAATTACCGTGCCAGCACCGGAAAATTTGCTGTGGAGTACAAGAATTTTTCACGGGAATTTTCCCGGCTCCGTCCAAATGAACCTATTTTACTGTGCTACCACAGTAATTTTTCTGGAACTTTTTTTTGAGGTGTAATTCTCATAAGTATGTTTTTCATGAGCATTTATATATTTTCACATTTATTTACAGCTTCACAAAAGTACAAGAGATATCTGAATTTTTACACAAGGTTGGTCTTCACGATTTTCAGTGCTTTTAAGGGGGGACTGTGCTAAAACTTGAAATTACTTGGTTACTGAACTGTCGAACAATATTCGATACCCAAAGATGTAGAAATATTACTTCAGATTTTTTTTGTGGTTTAGACTTTTTTTGAATATTTGTTATACTTCAGTAAATAAAATTGGATGTGTTCTTGTAAATACTCAATAGATCGTAAAAAATTAAATTTTTCTCCGATTTACGTTACAGGGGTTATGCCTCACCAATAGGATTGCGCATGAGACCCAGACGAAACCTCACTTTGAAGAGATCGTCTCGCTCTAAAAAAACATGGAAATTTTTGCGACTGTCTCACTCTCAAAAAACATTATCGTCTCGTCTGGTCATGACTTGGAGATAATTTGCATGGTTACAGTCTTTACTTTTTCCGCTTCTTCATGTTTGGTCTCGTTTTCAGTCTCAGTCACGGTCTCATGCACGTTAAAAATAGGAAAAAGGAGAGAATGAGAGAAGATGAATTTTCGTGGAGTCGTGAAAAGGGAGATAATACTACGCCTTTCGAAAGTCAACTACTCGCGAAAGTTAAACGTCACTAGGGTCATACGAAGTAAGGGTTAAATGTCACGAGGAACTTACCTTGGATTAAGTACTGCAAAGATCACATAATCATAAGGATCTTACAACAGAGGCAGACAGGACAATTAGAAAGGTCAGACGATAACAGGGGTCAACTGTGAGAGGTCAGCAGGAGAATCACGAAAGTCCAACGATCATGAAAGTCGCCTGGGAGAAGTAGGCACAACAACCACAAGCGAGATCACAAGGGTCAAACGTTGATAAATCGAGCGAAATAATCAGAAGACTCTCCTGTTTGAGTCATTCTGGCCTCTTCCGTTTGATTCTGGTAATTATTCTACCTGCCTCTCCTGGTCGATCCTCAAGATTATCGGGACTGCTTCTGCACTGAGAAAAAAAAAATTTTTTGCCAAATATCCATTTACTTGAGAGAAGTATTTATTTTCGCAATATCGTATTTCTTCAGGTGAGTCATTCCCAAGCAATCCTCGTTAGGTTTCAATTATGTCAATTATAGTGCTCTAGAAGATGATCATAATAGTTATGACCTTGAGTAAACTCCTTCAATAATTATCAACATTAAAAAATTGATCGATATTCTTCCCTCTAGAAAATATGAAATTTAAGAAACATGAATAATCATTAGAGGAGTTCATCCAAGGTTATGAGCAACATAGTCATGCTCTAGAGCAATATGATTGATTGTTATAATTGAAACCTAATCAGACTCGCCTGGGCATGACTTGATTGAAGAAATACGATTTTGAAAAAATAAATTCTTTTCTCAAGTAAATGACAAAATATAACAGCACAAAATACATTTCGGGTGCTCCTTCTTTTTTATATTAAAGAAGGGAATTTATACATATAGCGTTCCACATCTTTATGACGTTATAGGAAATGATTGGAAGGGATTTGGATGAGGTAGGAGGGGAACCGAGATTATTCTCAATATAAATAACCAGAAAATTTTTACTGAAACAAATGGATAGTTCAGACCAGGATTTAAATCCAAGACCTTCCGATTATGCATCGGGTGCTCTCCCAACTGAGCTGTCCGGCTCTGAGCCATTTTTTCATTTCCAATTTCTGGTGCATATTGAGCTCCGCCGTCCTTCTTACAGCATTCATTTTTACATTAAACAGGGTAATTTATATAGCGTTCCACATATTTGCGAAGAATATTTGGCAAAAATATTTTTTTTTCTCAGTGTCGTTTTAACTTTGTGATCATTTGACCATTGCAAGGTATCACTCTCGTGACCACTGATAGTTTACTATGAGTGATCACTGAAGTTTATTCTGAGTTAATCACCTTTTATTACCATCTAGAATCCTTTTAACAAAAGAGTCACCCTGATTTGGAGGGCAACGAATATAGAAAGTTTGAATCGGGGGAAAAGTGTAATTCAAAGAAAATTTGTAAGATAAAAAGTAATGATCAAAACTCCACTTTCGTCTTATTTTATCATTTTCTCGGAAAAGTCAGAAAATTCATAGCTATGTTTCATTTTTTTCACCTATTTTTCAAAACGTTGAAAACGCAAATTCCATCAGAAAATTTCAGAATTAAACCGTTGAATTATGCAAACTGCGATTGATTGTAGTACGAAATATCTTATAGCAAATAAATCGTATTTTCTATACATATACACAGAACAGGGAATAAAAACTATCAAGAATTTTGAGGCATCAGTAGAAATGACAACAAGGATTTCAAAAAGTAAACAAAGAAAACGTATTCTATTAGCGTAGCGACAGATCCTATTCTTGTAGGTAATGGTCACATTATCAATGCAAATTACTCACTTCAAAGTCTTCATCATGAATACTGCTCTCACGTGCTAGACGCTCAATTTTCGAGTTCAAATTTTCATCCTCTGACTCATCAGTCTCTTGATCATCAGAACTTATCTGAGCATACTTCCTCTTTTGGTCTATGGTCCTGAAGGTAGCGATTGTCGATTCAGTGGCAGATTTCTCATCAGAAGTTACTGACTGTGAAAATATTCAAATTCCCTTCATGCATGTGGTAAGGCTGTTAATGAATGATTTGAATGATATTGGCAGAAAATTTCAAGTAAACTTTCTCGAAGGAAATTCTGTGTGTCGGTTCCTCTGACGACATTTCGTCGAAATGTTCTTCTCCTAATTTCTCAACACTGATATCATTGAATAATTCATGATTCACATGCATTGACGAAACATATATTGAATTCAGTAGTGAATTGGTAGTTGATAACAAGTTGATTTATCTCCTAGTGGACTTTTCGAGGAATACCTCAGAAACAAGAAGAAATTGTGAAATTCTTTAAAGCCCTTTTTCCAAGATCGTTGCCGAAAAAATATTACCCATATTTTAAATAAACGAACAAATGGCTAATTGGCGCAATGAGATATTTTCATGCAGGCAGTGGAATTAGAACTGCAACAAAAGGTTTCTACAAAAATGTCGCTATCTCTATTCGAAAACTTATCCACGAGCAGAACCAACTGATTACACGAAAAAAAATCCCGAATCAAGTGACGGTATCTGGTGTGATATAACTGAATCATGTAGGACTGAATCATGTAGAGAATCGAGTTCTTTTATCCCGCAATTGACAGCCTGAATGAAATCTCAATCAAAAATGTGCAAACAGGCATAGCGCATTGATTCAGATTAGGTCGAACGTGACCCTAGGTTGGTCACCCTATAAGGAAAACCCCGCCGTGCGTCGTTCTAATTTAATTGCAATTGACTGGCTAACCGGAAAAATTTAAAAAAATTGACTTTGTCAATTGAAGTGTCTGAAAAATTATAGTAGTTTTTAGAATAACATATTTCCCAAAACTCCCCAAGAAAACAAATCATTTCTAACAGATGAATTATTTTTTCCCATGTTAAATGAAATTGTTCATTACGCGACGTTGCCGGAAACTCGTTAAACGCACTCGGGCAGTGTAGAGCTAAGTCGGCAACGCTAAGGTCTAAATGACACGGCGGGGAATTCCCGCGGAGGTGACCAAGTCGCAGGGTCGAGTTTGGTGACCAGACTAGGGTTAAGGATGTCCAAGTACTTTGGCTATTTTTTCTCCAGTGGAGGACTTTTTTTTTGTAGTTGAACATCAGAGCCTTTATTTAAACCCCATTTGACCCTAACTTTCCGGATATTTTACAATAAGTTTATTATTTAAACTTTGAAAGTCTAAATTTGAATCTCGATATTGAACCGTTAGAAAACATTCAAAAAATCTGAAAAAATAGGAAATTTACTGTTGGAGGAAGATTTATGGAATTATTAAAAAATTGCAATTTTCTAAAATGACGAGTGTTTTTATAAATAATTTATAAATAAAAAATTTTTCAGTACAAAAATCATTTGTTCGGAATCGTAACCAATTTATTCATATTCAGAACTTTACCAGAAATCGATTTCATATGCGCTGTATATATTCATGATTTAAACAAAAATTGTCGCATGCAATTTGATTCATAAATTGGATAATTAAAAATGGTTGCATCTATAGCGTGGTCTGTACCAAACTGTAAAAAATACTTGCATACGCTCCATTCAAGTAGATTTTGCAACTTGGATCAAGTCGCTATATACTACATGAAACGGGACGATTTTTCGGTGTCCATCTATCCGTTGGTTTGAGTTGAGACAAATAGGTAACGACTGGGACGTTCCATCTTCAAATTATCAATTTTCTACTCACAGCAAGTTTGATCTGGATTGACGGAAAATTATGAAAATGTCGAGAACTATTTGAATCATTCCTTTTTTTAATGAACTCGTCACCAATCCGCTACTGAATTATTTTTCATGCTTATTTTCTAGTCCTTTATTACTTGCCATTTCATGATTCACGCTAACTTGAATCCTGGTTGGTGGAGGCGAGTCATTGGACTTGGAGCTATCAAGACACGAAAGACTGGACAGGGTTAATTGGATGGATTTAATCAGGCTTCTGTTCGCTTCTTGAAGACTCTTTTCCTAAACCCATCACCGATTACATTCCATCAATAGATAACACAAATACATGTGGATCCAAAAACTACGAAAATCCTGTAATATTCTTTCTATTCAAATAGAAATTATCTAGAAAGTCATTTCCGTTTCCGCAAAGTATAAACTAAATGAGTAACACATTTAAGAAACTTTTTTCTTCATCACATTTCGTATAAGTATGAATTCTTACGATTCAGTCGAGGAATGATGAAACAATTTGGATTGATATGACTCATCTCGATAAATTGTTTTACATAAAATTGTTGCATCAATTGTTTTGCAATAAAATGTCTAGAGCGCTCTGCCATATCAAATTTCAACTTAATTTCAAGATAATTGGATGATCGACAAAGATGTTATACCCGCTCTATTACATTCTTCCACTATAGAATAATAGGACTGTAAGACTTTGAAAGAAAACATTAAAACACTTCTGTAGCGAAGTGATAAACTAGTATATGTGCGAAGAATGATAATTAAAATGATAAAGAGCTGAGGAACTTGACAAAGTTCAATGTTGCTATTTATTTGAATCAAAAGCACATTTTTCGAAAGAAATTAACAATAATGTTTTTTAGAAAAATAAAACCTATATTATTTAGGTACGTAATTATCTCGACAATTTCCTCAATTCTGTTTTTGACCAATCAGAGTGCAGTATTCGAGGTCATGTGACACGTTTCACACTGATAATTTCCCGATAGCCGGGGAAATTATCAGTATGAAAATAAACGTAAAAAAGAATTGACAGATATTCCTCATATTTTGGTGAAATATGTCCCCTAATCCCGAACACCGCACCCTGATCGGCCAAGATCAGAATTGAAGAAATTGTCCTCCAAACACCCCCCGACCTTCAAAATTAATCGGATATTTCCCTCAAGTTTTCCTGCATATCAACGATCGGGATCAGTTTTGTAGTAAAATCCCTCGTACTGCGCGCTCGAGATTGTAATCTGCAAAACTGATCCCTCTCGTTGCTGTGGACCAAAACAGTCGGGAAGTATCGGATAATTTTGACGGTCTTGGGGTATTATAGCTGATAATTGATGACTCACGCGAAAGAATGATATAAAAGAAATACTTTTACATTTTCTCATAACATCAATCGGCATGACAACCATTCACCTGTGGATAGAAATATCTCTATCTCGAAGATGCAATCTTTGTCGATTAGTTGATTATATCAATAATAACGAATGCTATTATGAATCATCAAGTGTTCTCCATGGAGGAAATTTTTCCATCTTTAAGCAACGCTTCTTGGCGTTTTCTCTTAGAACCCCCCCCCCCCCCCCCNTTCTCTTAGAACCCCCCCCCCCCCCTCCTAATTAATCATATCCAATCAGAACTTTATAGTCGTTTCATCATTTCACCATTGAATAATTCAAAATATCCTGCAATTACTTCTAATTTCTCTACAAATTAGATGGAAGTCTCGAGGAATCAAACATCAACAGTACGAACAAATTTCATAACATCAGAATTAAAATACTTACCAGGGGACGATGATTAGCGACTCGTTTCTGCCTGAGTGTTTTGATCCCATTGGTCTTGATTGTTCTCAGACGCCTTCGAATTTTCTGGATATACTTGACAATGTCGCTGGGCTCGATCGTTGGATACCCAAAAATTACAGCTCCAAGATTCCATCCAAATCTGCATAAACGAAGTACGATCAGCCCTGGGAGGAAGAGCACCCAGGGAAGAGGTCTAACGAGCTCCATGCTCTGGAGGAATTTTCCATTTTCCTCAGTCACTGATTCGTGGTAGGGAAGACTCCACTGAGCTGACTTTTCAATGATCCAGAAGCCTCGATCCAGAGCACGAAGCAATACTTGACCCAAGGACATCTGAGCGAGGACTGTGAGGCATGATGTCAGTAGATATTTTGCATTATCGATAAGCTGTCCGGCCATCTGTGTAACAAGAATATACACAACAGGATGAATGAAAAGGTGTTGCTTTCCGTGCAGATTCAGTTGCTTTTGATTAGTGATTTTGTGGGACCTATTTTGCAGACGAAGAAGTCCCCACAAATAGTCTTCCGACTTGAAAAAAAACTCAATGTTGGTAATGACTAAGGTACGAGAGATAAAAATTTTCGTCAATTTTAGGAATATCGCGGGATTGAGTTGTTCCAGAAAAGAAGTGGCCGTGGAATTTGGACGGCAGTTACGATCAGCGCAAAACATTTCAATCCAATTTTTTTCTACACGGAAAGAAATATTCAGTAAAAATTACGGAACAATTCACATACTCCGCAATGGAGAATCGTTTTCCGGCAATTTTTATAGAAATGGAAGAGTCTTCTCAACGTTCAGTGAATTTTCAGGTTCATCACCGAATAAAGTACGAAATTGTCACGTAATTTTTCCCGAACAAGTAAAATTTTACAGAAACTTCCCGAGTTATTATGCCTCCAAAATCGAAAATTCTTGAACGTTCAACAATTTTCATGAAGCTGGTAAGTTATTTCTACGTTCCAGTCCGTAAAAATTATCAATCGTTGGGGAAAAATTACGAAACGACTTGTTGTCCCCACAGCAGTGAGTCATCAGACGGGTGGTTAATTTTTATGGAACAAATCGTAGAATTTACGTGGGGATTCCTACAATTTCAGTTCCGACTTACACTTTTTATTGAACTTTACTTCGCTCACGGATTACGTTTCGAAACGTAATTTTTCTTTTTTTTTCTAGTAATTTTTATTGAATATTTCCCTTCGTGTACGGTGAAAGGATTATTTTTGAAAAATCAAATTCTGACTCGTTTCATGACAATGTTATGCAGGATTGTCTGAATTTGGATCTTTCAAATTAACCATTTCATGCAAAAGAAAAAATTGGATTGAAATTTTCAACTCTGATAATAACTGCCGTCTGAGTTACATGGACACTTAGACTCCCTTCTCTTTTTTAAGAGGAAGGAAAATGGTTTTTAAGGATGGTTTCCTGAACTCCATAAAATCATTACCCATTAATTTCTATCAGTAAACGGAAATACCTAATTCGAAAAAAAATTCAACAGATTAATCCAAAAAGATCTTAAAAATAGTGGGTTTACAGAAAAATATTGTTTTTAATAAGTTTTTGTTGTAATACAACATACCTGATAGACAGGATTAGTGACTGTTAACAAATGGATTTGGTTGAAGGGTCTATTTAGTCTCACCAAGTGTTCATTCGTTAATAGTTAACGATAGCATATCTTAGGAGTCTTCTTTGACTCGACTTTCACCTTTCAAGTGAATCATTCGTTAACTATTAACGAATATTTATTTGGTCATATTCTACTCTACCATTTGTTAATAGTTAACGAATCTCGTTAGGAATAAATGAATCATTCTATCAGTGTAAACTTATTACTCCTTACTTAGGTAATTCATCAACGGATATCATAATAATCTACGAAAATGTGAATAAGCTATAAAAATAATCAAATACTTTCTCTCCATCAAATGCAAGAGATTATCTCTGCAGGTCATGCAATTCCCCTGAGAAAATGTCTCCAGTTAAATCTTTCAAATTTCCTTCTTTTCCAGAAAATTCCATACCCCCCCCCCCCCC